AAAAAAAATCCAAATTACCTCGTCACGTGATCGACCACGCCCTCTTCTGTTCATAAATTTCAATTAACGATGCCCACCACTTCCTAAACGTGTAACTCCAGTTTCTCTGTATCAAAACTTTGACCCTACAAAGTGTCTACGAAATCAGCCTGGAATGGTTGGAATCTTTACAATTTGTAGGTGCAATTGGTGTTCATTGACTAGTGCCAGTCCTCCTCTTAATAAAATTTTCGTTAGGAGAAAGACGTTAAATGACTTCGTTTCATTCCACCCGTTTTTACAAGAAGACTATCAGTAGCCACTGTTTGGACCTACAAAAGGAAAACGGTTTGCTTTCTACATAGTGGGCATTTCGACCCAAAGGATTTCTCGATAAAACAGGGCGTGGCTGGTCACGTAATGCAGTTATAAACAATTTTTAAAATGAAAGTTGAAGATTTCGTTGTTATCATTAGCCTTAATTTATTAGACCTGGGATATCTTTAAAAAACTTTACATTAGACCACCCCCCTTTAAAATTCTGAGGAATTTGTAAAGAACCAGGCCTTAATCTACTTGAGCAGCCGGGCTCGCAGTATGTTATTTTCTTCAACTTAAAATCTGGTTAATCTCAACCTGAACGTTTTATAAAAACTGGTTCTCAAGAAAGAAGAGTGTAATAAAACTGGCTCGATATATATTCATACATAATATCAATCAATCAATAATAAACTCCTCTTTACTGACCAAAGCACACATTATTCCACAAAAACTGCATATATTGAAGCTTGCGCAAAAAGCTGATCATTTTTGAAACTTTCTTGCGCGAAGTTATCAAAGCGCGCATTCCACAAACATCTACTGGTAATATGTACCCCTTGTCCAAGAACTTGACCAATCCAAACCACACAAACAAACTTATACCGCTCAACCGGGACCTCTGCTTTCACTTTTTTCTTTATCTCTTCACTGATATCAATCGACAACTTCTTGCTCTCTTCCGCGGCGTATGTTTTACTTTTCAAGCGAGCCTCCAATACATCGCGAATAATCCCGCTCGCTTTCTGCGACAAAAAGCCATCGTCTGGTTCCATTTTATAAGTGTTCTCCATCTGGCTGACGTCTTCGATAGCGTACAGAGACAAATTATCATCGACAGTCGACGGAGCGGATGCTGTTGTTGCGAACTTTGAAGAAGCTAAAGTCGATTCTTGCGGGGCGGGAATCGAGATGGAACTTCCTGTACGACTTGCTTTCCTTGTGGTTTGAGGGAACGCTCTGTTTGCAAGAAGAACTGTTTTCGCTACTGATGCGAACTTTCCTTTCCTGTTCCCTTGTTCGTGAAGTTGTTTTGGCTCGTTGCTAGGGCTTTTAGTTTCTTCTGTCGACGTTAAGAAAAATGTGGTTTTCTTTTGTGAAATTCTGGACTGCGTCGAGTTCTTCCTTGCAGATTCCATCACAACGAACACAGCCTCCCCTAAAACAAAACCATCTTCTGTTTAATTCTCTCTTCAATGTTAACTAAAGTTTTCGTTAATCTATTGTACTAGCACGTTCTTGATAAACAAGGACTATTGAAATTTTAAGCGAACTCATTTAGTTTCCCTTGAGGACATCACAAAAAGACTTTTAAAAAGAGATGCTAATTTTCTAAAGACCTGCACGAAAATTAACGAGGCAAGAACCAAAGATCTTAATGTTGTGCAGATATCATAGAGTTGTTTGCGTAAGAGATTGAGAGTAATTGGGCAGTGTTATGATACTTGAAACAAATTTATTTGATTCCAAATTGTACCGTTAACTTTCTAATGAGAGGAAATTAGATTATGACTAACTCATAGATGTTGACATTGATTATCTTTTAGCGATTTTGCAAAAGACCGTCAAAAATTAATTAGCAAATCAGGCTCAAAGCTAGAGCTGGCTATTATAATTTATGTACTTTCAATTAGTGTGTAACAATAATATAATCGGAGATTGCGTTCATGTAATAAATAGTGTACCCAATATGATAAAGGAAAAGACATAAGACAACTAACTTCCAGGTTCTCAGGTCGAAATGGGAACAGCCATCGTAAGTCGCCCAAAACTCAAAACATCTCACGTTTTAGCCTGTTCCAGGCTTTCAGATGGTAGAGCGAAGGAGGAAAATTCAGAAAGAAAGGAAAAACGAGGGGGAGACTAGAGGCGCGCCCCCCCCCCGTTTACCCGGTGTACAATTTAACTCCTTCCCCACTGACTGCCGCGCTCTACTACCACTGCTTTTGTTAATTAAGGTGGCTCGATTGGATTCTTAGTTTGAGCATTTGAGCAAGTTTGAGTTGTTATGGCAACGCAATGACGCCATCCTTTTTTTTTACTTGCTCTTGTATTTCTAGGTAACAGGAGTTGTTTTCGGAAATCGCCTAAGGGAGCTTGTACCTAAGAAAATGGGAGGAATCCCCCGAAAATAATCCGGTCAAGCCACTTTAAGGACCTCATAATTTAGCAGCCTAAACCAAGAATTTGCTTATTCGGTACGTTAACTCTTTAAGCCCTAAGAGAGATCAGCAGCAAATTTCTCCTTGTAATATCAATGCTTTGTAAAACAGAGTGGTCATGAGAATTACGGACATGATCACACAAGATGAATTTGCTTGATATTTTATCAACTTCTCCCCACTACTTCTGTAGGAAATGAATAGGGGCAACAAATGAGAATTCAAATTTTGAACTTAGGGTTTAAAGGGTTAAGCTGTGTTCACACCATATCGGATAGCTTTTGCGCTGGCAAGAAATACCATTATACCGGATAGAGTGGTTTTCGTTTGAGTGTCGTAAAACCAAAACCAAAGTAATTACTCTGGCCAATCACATAGGACACAGACAACACATTGAACCAATCAAAACTCGAAGTAATTACATGTGGCTGACGCAAAGCGCGGGAAAATGCATGCGAGCGCGTCACAATTGGCTTTGGTTTTACTTCTGATTGGATGAAAAGGTGGCGCGAATCTTTTAAGCCAATCGCATCGTGTAGAAAGTGCAAAACCAATTACTTTTCGACACTCAAATGAAAACCGCTCTAA